CCCCAGAGGCCTCCACAGACAAACGCAACATGGAACCAAGCAGTGGACACAGCAGACTGCAGTGGCTGGTGAGATATTCAGGCTCAGATGCCCCGTAGGAGTGGGTAATTGGCCTCTCCAACTTGGAGAGGGGCCAACCAAGCTCAAAACTCAGAGCAGCTTTGGGCTGGCTCCATCAGGGTGAGACAGAACCAAGTACAAGTTGGCAGGGGGTCGAGGAGCTGAGCTCAAGCTGGCAGAGACACATGAAGTGATGCAGGGTGTGAACAAATCAGGTTTCAGACTCATGGCCAGAAACCAGCCTGAGCTTCAAAACTAAAGGTGCAGGCTTGCTGGGATTATCCATCACACCACCAGAAATCTGTGAGAGGCTCACTGGAATTAGTCCACATGGATCTGGGCTCTGTGTGCCCAATTTGGGTACCAGTGACAGTGGAGACACTCCTTGCAGTGGACATATTTTCTTTTCTTTTCTTGTTTTTGTTTTGGTTTTGAGTTTTTGTTTTTATATAAATGTAAACATTATTTCTATTTTTTGTTGTTCCATTGTTTCTATTTTTATTTTTCCTTTTCTCTTCTTCAGCAGTTCCTCAAAGTTGGTGTAATCTTCATTTGTTCTCTAGCCTTGTTTCTAATCTTTTCCTCTTCTTTTTTTTTTTTTTTTTTTTGGTACCAGGTATCGAGCTCAGGACCTTGCACTTATGAGGCAGATTCAGAGCCACTGAGCAATCTTCCTCTTTTTCTTTTTCTCCATTTTTTCCTCTAACCTCTTTTAAATTTTCTCCTTGAGTATAAAATCACCAGATTGAGGGCATATTTACTGTATACAATTTTCTGGTTTGTTTTAGATTTTATTATATAACCACAAATCTAGTTCATATGGTTAAAGACGGCAAATCAATAGTTACTACATTTTGTCATGTGATGCTATTGTTATTGCTGATTGTACTACTTTAGCCAAAGTGACATAATTGTGCTAAGCACTTGTTCTGGTACACCAAGACTGAGGCTGCCTAAGGGTCATAAACAATATTATAGGCCAGTGCCAAAGAACCAGGTGCGGGGCCAATAGGCAGCAACTATCCTAAATAAATTAAGGAGGTGGAGTCTTCCAACAGAATCAAAATCTAAAATCCAGCTACACCTGGAAAACATCTCTGAGAAATTGCCATTACTCAAGGGCTCTAAATACTAACAGTACAAAATTTATAAGCATCAACCCAGGAATTAAACAACAACAAAAAAGAAAAGAAGATACTTAGGCAAAATGCAGACCCAAACTTCTAGCTCACTAAAGGCAAACTCAGCGGGCAATGAGGTAGAAAAATTTGAAACCCACCCACCTGGATGCCCTGAAATGGTAACAGCAGAAGTAACAAAGCAGACGAGACTTTAGACAAAAATCAAATCAGAATATTTGCTCAGATAACTGCAGAGATGAGGGCCATAATGAAAGACATGACTAATGACTTTAGAACAGATACAGATAAAAAAATAGAGGAGCTTAGGAAAATGATAGAAACCATTAATGCCCAAATAGGAAGGAAGTGGGATCCATGAAACAGATTCAGACAGATATCCGGGAGATTAAAAATTCCATTGAAAGTACACGCAGCAGCCAGGAGTGGTGGTGCGTGCCTGTAATCTCAGCAATCGGGAGGCTGAGGTGGAGGATTGCTGTGAGTTCAAGACCAGTCTGGGCTACCTAGTGAGTTCCAGGTCAGTCTCAACTGCATAGTGAGACCCTGTCTCAAAAAACCAAAAACCAAAACAAAATGGAAAGTATATGCAGCAGAATGAGCCAATGTAAGAACAGAATATCAGACCTAGAAGACAGGATTATGGTTAGTGATTATGAAAATGATTTCTTAAAAATAGCAAATGACCATGAAAAAGCAATCCAACAGCTGTTAAATGAGGCAAAGAAGAATAACGTATGGTTGATCAGAGTCAATATAAAAGCAGGAGATGGCACAAACAACCTACAAAACCTGTTCACAGAAGTAATGTCAGAAAACTTACCAAGCAGGGAAAAAGAACCTGACATAAAGATAAGTGAGACATATAGAAATCTAATTCTCCACGTTAAAAAAAACTGCACCAAGGCATACAATAGTCAAGATTCCAGAAATTCAACACAAGAACTGAATATAAAAAATTGTTACGGAAGAGAAACAAATCACCTATAAAGGAAAGCCCATCAGAATCACAGCAGACTTCTCCAGACAAGGAAACCCTCAAAACAAGGAAAGCTTGTGAAATTTTTCAAGCCCTTAAAGAAAACAACCTCCAACCCAGACTGATGTACCCTGCAAAACTATCCTTCAAAATTGATGGAGGAATAAGATACTTCCACGACAAAGAAAACTGAAGAACTTCATGACCACCAAGCCAGCACTTGAAAGTGTTCTGAAGGACAGTCTAGAAAGAGATAACGGGACCTACAACTCCACGAACCCCAACAGAATCAATCCACCAGGCAAGGCAAGCTATTAAACAGAGGGGAAAAGGGGGAACTAACAACAGGAAAATAACATGACAAGGATTAGTCAATACAAATCAATTATAATCATCAATATAAATGGTCTCAATTCACCAATCCAAAGAAACGGACTGGCTGAATGGATCAAGAAGCAAGATCCAACATTATGCTGTATATAAGAAACATATTTGATTCAAAAAGAAATCCATAGACTGAAAATCAAAGGATGGAAAACGGTACTTCATGGGACAGGAACCTGGAGAAAAGCAGGGGCAGCTATTCTCTTTGCAGACAAAGTGGATTTCAAACCAAGACCACTTAAGAGAGACAAAGAAGTTTACTACACCCTTGTAACCATCCAAGAGGAAGAGACAACCGTCAAAAATATATATGCACCAAATTCCAGTGCACCCAACTGTTTAAAACAAATATTACCTGACATGAAAAAATGAAATAAGCACTAATAGGGTTGTAATGAAGGACCTTAATACCCCACTGTCACAAATAGACAGATCAACTAAACCAAGAATCAACAAAGAAATATACTGCCAGACACCACATTGGGCCATGCTAGGGGCTGTTCCCAGCCAAGTCCTAGTGGGAGGAGGAGTTAGCTGCTGGCTGCACTTCCCGATTCTCTGCAGAAGGATAGTAAGAGTCCCCGAAGATGCTCCTGTCTCTTCCTCCCTCTTGGGCTGCAAGGCCCAGACAACAGGAGACCAAGTGTCAGTGGGCAGCCAGAAGTGACCCTCAGACCAGCCAGGGAAAATGTGAAACCCAGAGAGCATTTAAGAGGCACAGACTGGCTGGTTGAAGAGGAGGTGACTCTGGAGGAGTGGCCCAGCTACCGTGGTACTTCAGAGTGATCTGACTCTGAAAAGTCACCCGGCCTGGCTGAGGTGGCTGTGGGCCAGGGCTGCGGGGCCAAAACTGGTGACAAAAACTGGGGCAGGCTCTGCTCATATCCCTGGCACGGGCCCACACCTGTGAGCTTGGGTCAGGCAGCTCCAGCCTCTGGCTTTGGTTGCCCTCAGCCCAGTTCTCAGGACTGGGCATGTGATGTCCCTTGGAACCCGGCTCTGGCTCTCCGGAACCTCCTGGTGCAGGAAGTCTGCTAATGCTCCCTGTCCGGCTCCCTTTCCTACCCAGGAGATGCTGCTGCTTGCTCATCAGAGCCAATCAGGCAGGGCAGAGTCTGAGCTCTAATAGTTCTGGGAAGGACGCGTGGGCATTCAGAGGCAGCTTTGCCTGTCTCAGTGCGAGTGTGAGTGTGTGTGTGCGTGTGTGTGTGTGCACGCGTGCATGTGCGCACAAGCACCTGAGCCGCAGAATTCCCACCTGGAAGCCATATAGCACCCACGAGAACAGCACAGGCGGCTCACATAGCCCCGGCTATAAACTCACCCAGCCTGCGCGCCCGCTCTGTGAAAATCTCATCATGGTGCTGAAGAACACACTCAGTCCTTCCATGGTATTTTGAAACTCACGTTGACGTTGATTTTTTTTGACAGATAACCGCGCTGTGTGTAGGGGCACAGCACGCCAATCCGGTGCACAGACGCGTAGTGTGCGGACTGGCGTGGGTGCGTGGCTTGGCCACCACGGCAGACACTTCTTATGTCCGTTTGTGTCAGAGCGTCTGAAATCTTCTCTTCTGGCTGCTTTGATGACAGCAGGAGATATGATTCTTTTAAGCGATGCTGTAATCAGGCACATGGCTGACGGAATTCTGCACGATGAAGAATGATACAACCCTGCTCCCAGCCAACGCGGGGGTCCGTCCTGCTCGCTGGCTCTGCATTCCAGCTCCGCAAAGGGCGGCCTGGGGTGGGGGGTGGAGGCCTAAGAAAAATGAAGCTGTGCTCCGTCCTGCACCAGCTCCCCGCGGGATGTGATCATGATGCATCACCAACGCGGACTCATAAACATAAAAAGAAAAGGGAAGGGAAGACCATGGTGCTGGAAATGGCATCAAAGCAGAAAGGGGAGCTGCTTTGAAAGTCCTGCAAGCCTTCTTTAGAAAAATCCCTCAACTGCAGGGGCCGTGGGTGTGATTAACCCGTGACACCACGGGAGCTGATAATGGCATTAGCGTCACGGAACGTGGAGAGGAGCGTTCGCTTCCGTGGGACTGAGCACCCGCCGGGCAGGAGCAGCGTCTGGGAATCGACAGTTTAAATCTCTCCGTGGGCTGATGTCAGTTCTGTGGACAGAGCTTTATTGAATCATGGTTAGATCTGCTTAGTTGCCTCTTCAGGAAGGGAAAGGCTGCTCTGAAATCAACAAAACAAAGATTGGGGAATAGATTCCCAGGTTCTCTGCAGTCTGCTCCTTGTCTTAACTGAGGGGTCAACCAGAGACACTGCTGCAGAGCCCGAAGCAGTGCATACGCTTGTGATTCCAGTACTACGGAGGCCGAGGCAGGAGGATCACGGCGAGTTTGCACAGATGTGCGTGCTTTACTCTGTGACAGGTGTCCTTCCAGCTGAGGCCGTGAGAGCTTCTGATGGGAGCCGGGGAGGGCACCACCTAGAGGGTGGGCGGAGTATCGCAGCGGAGGGATTTCCGGTTGGGGCCCTGGCGGAAGAGGCCGGTGGTACAGAGTGAGCAGAACACTGACCCCCAGCGCGGGCCAGGGTCCAGGTCAGCCGTCCCTTAGATGAGCCTCCTTGCCAGGGGGCGTGAGACGTGGGTACACACGAGCAAAGTGGCACCTCCAGGAGTCAGATGTCGCCAGTGTCAGCGTAGAAGGAGGAGGGGCGGGTGAAGGCCGGGAAGACGCTGGCGTTGCCATGGCGATGGCTGATTGAAGCGTTTGAAGAGAATTAAAGTCGCTGGACTGTGAGGAGGAGGAGCTGGAAGGGAGGAGCGGGCGGAGGGTGGGGGTGGAGTGCTGGT